TCAGGCCCAAGGCCTGTTCTCGTTCGTGCTGTGCCTCAGGCTACCGGGGCCTACTGGAAGCTTCCTGGGACTGAACACAGGCAGGCCACTTTGATATAGCAAAGGGCCTACCTCCACATTGGGCATTCGAGTGTTGGTTGCATGCTGCGTAAGCGCTGCCGCGCTGTAGCTCGTGCCACTCACTCGCTCACAGGCGAGCAGGAAGGAGCAGGCAGTCATAGCCGAGCTGCGCTGCTGTAAGCTGGGTGTGGCGCAGGGTGGTCCTTGGGTGCAAGTGGAATCTGTGGGTTGGGGAACGAGGTTGTGAGTAAGGCGAGACACACTCTCACGCGCAGGCACAAACACACTTACACTTACACACACACACACACTTACAAACACACACATACACACACACACTTACAAACACACACATACACAAACACACGCATATACATACACACACATATACATACACACACACACTTACAAACACACACGTACACTTACAAGCACAGACACACACACACACACTTACAAACACACACATACACAAACGCACGCGCATACATTCATATTCATGCACAGACACACTCTCACAGCAGGCACACACATACACAGATACGCGCACACACAGCACACCTACACACACATAACTGGGGCGTTGAGGGTTGGGGGATGTGGGGGCGGATGGGAGGTGCTTCAGGGGTTGGGTTTTTTTTTTTTTTTTTTCCTAGGGCGACGTGTTCCGGACCCCGCGCATCAATTCCGTTTTTCCGAAAAGTGCGGGAGCGGCCCATTTTCGCGTTTAACGCGAATTCAACGGGATTTTTTGGAGTTTAACGGGATTCAACGGGAGTTTAATTCCCCCCTTCTGCGTTAAAAAGATACACAGCCTTCGGCATTGATTTTTAGTCTAGCATCTTCCCAGTCAAAGTTCAGGATTGTTGTGATCCAGGGACCTTCCCCAAATACCAAGGTCCAACATCCCAAGAGTCTCCAACAGTCAGGCTTATACCTCTTTAGTCCTTTCTGGCATTCCATAGCCTCTTTCTCAATAGTCAAAGTCTAAAGCTGCTAGCAACTCTCTGCTGCTCCACTCACACAGCACGCCCAAGAAGCTGGTTAGTTAGACTCAGACAGTCGAGACCGGATAGCCTCGGTACCTTGCACTGCTATCCCAACTCACGAGTGAGTGCGGCGGTAGCACGGGTTCGTGCGCGCCCATTAACTAATAGCTAGGAAAATTAGCGCAATAGCTATCCCTTTATAGAATCAAAGAGCACTGCGGTCTCTGCCTTTTAAACGGGGAACTCTCTCTCTCTCTCTCTATATATATATATGTGTTTGTGACGATATATATATATATATATGTACAAACTATCGAGAAGTAATATAAGACGATGAATGTTGAACCTCAACAGTCGTTAATCGAAAACGTCCATACAGTCGGAACGTGCAACCTTTATTATTATTATTATTATTATTATTATTATTATTGTTATTTTTTTTTACAAAGAACAACCTGAGTGGATGCTAGGGGTGCTGGTAAGAGTAGGCACCACTAGCATTCCCGGGGAGGGTCCATCTATTGGTGGGGAGAAGCACCTGCAGGAAAGCGGGTCAAGTGTCCCTGAACATTGTAGCTATTTGTTGGTCAGACATATTGTGATGACAGTCAACTGCACGGCTCACCTACAAAGTACAGAAAATAGGGAAGTAGAGTTTACAAAATTGCCCGATTTGCTTGCCAACCTGACAGCCTACATTGAGTCTAAAATGAGTGCTAGTATACACAGATCATATGTCTTCTTTTAAGGGAATTGGAGGCAGATCTCCCCAATCCCCTCAGCAAGAAACCCTTCTTGTTCCTGTGTTGGACTCTTGCATTTGGACCATTTGTAGTATCAGACCCACTTGGCCCATGTCATGTTGTGGCTGCTGAAACCATTTACTACCCCTGCCCCAACCGTCATCATTTATTTGTCCTAAGGCCAGGGTTTATTCGTCCTTGCTCACCTTTTTGCCAGTATACTCCATCCTGTCTCATTCCAACTGCCACCCTCCCATCAGAAGATTCTCATATCTTCTTCTGACCGGAGCCGTTGTCGGGCACATCGGTTCCGAAGGGAGACCCTCCCGACTGCGTCACCCAAGATTTGTGGCATGACTGTATCCTTTTTCGAGGTGCACTAGAGCTTCCGTCACCGCTCCGGCCGAGTAAGCCAGCCATACCTCTCACGAACCCCTACGACATGATAAGGTCATGCGAGGTACAACTTTACGTCCACCTGCGGAGTTGTCACCATCCCGTAGGTGGGCGTATCCCCACTGAACGACTGAACCACGTGCGAAAGTTAATCAGTTACAATCGCAGAGGTGGCCTAGTCGAGGGCATTTCTCGTACGCTATATCATAGGGGTTACGAACCGTCCCACACCTCTATTGGACCCATAAGCGAATTGACACACTGGGAAGCCTGAAGTCCAAAGCGCGATTCATCTTTGGTCGACTAGGACGCATCCTTCTTACCATACGTTATACCACGCCAAAACAAAAAAGTCAAATCACTCACACAAAACAAAACACACCTAGTCCCTTTACCATCCAACCCATAATCTTTTGACACAAGAAACAGTTAGGCGTCACGCGCGAGACTTAAGATAAAACCGCGCGGACGCAAGGCTTTCTCATATCGACTAGCCATGCACGAATATGCAAGCAGTCGCAGTGATGGCGTACTATGTAGTACCCATAATCTCATGGCCCTTGATGACCTCAAGGGTCACGTTCGACACTCAAGTATCGGATAACACGCGTATGAAGGGATTAATCTCTCGACGCCAGACAACCGCTAAGGCGGTTGAGAAGCACACCCTCTTCTGCACCCTGCGGAGAGTGGGTGGTAGACAAGTTCTGATCTGTTGTGGCAATCAACGCTTATTGCCTTGGAGGCAAGCTCCATCATCTAGGGCTTGAAGAGAAGTCAAGGGGTTTGACTTTGATGGTTGCCACAAACTTCAACGTCCAACTATAAATACTATAAAAAACAAAAGATAAAGAGGGTCTCCCTTTTCTCTCAAACATAAAATCAGTTTAACCCCTACGCACAGTCACAGAAGCCCACACGAACGCTCAAGATGTATATATATATATATCTGCCTACGGTTCTACCGGACAGTTCTGTTTGTGACGATATATATATATATATATATATATATATATATATATATGCTAACCCTTAGCAGCATTGATCGCAGGGGGGAGGTCGATGGTCCGCTGCACGCCGGATTTTTGGTCGAAGTTTTGACGAGGGTCGACGGATGAAGGCGATCCAGGGCGAAGGAATGTGCAGAAGGGCGCTCGTACTGAAATGTTCGCAGCACGCCATTAAACGAGAGAGCACGTTGTAAGGGTTGTACCCAAGTGGACTTTCGAGCCTTGGTCGACCCCACTGCGGGTCCCACTTGGCTCGACCCGCCCACGCTCACGCTCACGGCGCGGGTCATTCGTCCCAGGGGCACCCCCACCTAGTGCTATGAGATGGATGGGGGTGGGCCTTTTGCGAGAGGGCTTTACATTGGGGGATGTAGCTCCGCTCTCGCGTTAAGATGATAGCTCTTTTGTCACTCGCGGCGTTTTCTTGATTCAGTTAAGTCTGACCAGGCAATCGCTCATTCCAATACTCAGGCAGTCCAAAGAGTTCATTGAGAGTTTGTCTTCTTACCGTGTGCAGGTCAAGCATCATCCATTGGGCCACGCACCTTTTCACTAGGTCTAGTGGCTCAGGACAGCCCCGACAGCATCCTTGGGGCGAGGCGGCGGCGCCCAGACCCCTTGCCGCTATATTTTTTTGCGAGAGTCACTAGCATCACATCCACCTATCCAAGGCAGCCCTTAGTCCTTCCAGGCTTGCATTGCATTCACGAGAGAGCCATTCATTTAACCATCACGCAACCACATCCAGGCGTCTACCATTCGTCCAAGCATCCGACCATCCGACCATACAACCCATCCCGCATCCACAGCTTATGCGAGGTCCAAGTCCTTCCCTTAGCCAATTCTCCCACCCTAGTCCTCAACCGTGGATCCAGCCCCGTCCAAATCGTCCCTAGCTACTCACCTACGCAAGACCACACAAGACAAATGACCAAGTACAATCCCCATTGGAGTCAACACATCGCCCCTTCCCGCAATCCTAAGCCCCCTTTGCCTTCCAACTCCCCTTATGAGTTCCCTTCCCTTTCCCACAAGCAATCCATGCAATCCCTTAGTCATGCAGTTCGGGAGGATGGTTGAGTCAACTGACCTCATCCAAAAACAACACTCCTTTTCGCTTTCACAAATGTTCTCAATAGTCTCATATCCTTTCCTTCTTGGTGGCACAAGGGACCGACAACCCTTTCCTTGCCCTCGCTTTCCACCAAGTGAGGACCAAGTTTCTTTCCGTTCGTTCCCTGGCAATGTAACAGGTGAGGGTAGGGGTTAGTCACATGCCCTGGAGGGGAGGGAGTGACGGAAGGGTTAAGGGTAAAAGAGTTTCTGAAGGAATGGAGGAAGATGGAGAGAGAGAGAGAGAGAGAGAGAGAGAGAGAGAGAGAGAGAGAGAGAGAGAGAAGAAGCTTCACATCCTAATCGACCTTGCTCATTGACTTATCCTAACCGGTCCTTTCCGAGGTCCCTTGCATCCCCCTTGCGACCCCCTCCCCCCCCAAGACTTTCGGGTGGACGGGCGTCGGTGATGGAGGATGAAGGAGGGTTGGAGGTGGTTGGCTATGGTGGACGAGTGTGGGTGTCGGAGGAAGAAGAAGGGTTGGAGGTGGTCGGCTATGGTGGACGGGTGTGGGTGATGGAGGAAGAAGAAGGGTTGGAGGTGGTTGGCTATGGTGGACGGGTGTGGGTGACAGAGGGAGAAGAAGGGTTGGAGGTGGTCGACTATGGTAGATGGGTGTGGGTGATGGAGGGAGAAGAAGGGTTGGAGGTGGTCGGTTATGGTGGATGGGTGCGGGTGATAAAGGAATAAGAAGGGTTGAAGGTGGTTGACAATGGTGGACGGGTGGGGGTGATGGAGGAAGAAGAAGGGTTGGAGGTGGTTGGCTATGGTGGACGGGTGTGGGTGATGGAGGAAGAAGAATGGTTGGAGGTGGTCGGCTATGGTGGACGGGTGTGGGTGATGGAGGAAGAAGAAGGGTTGGATGTGGTTGGCTATGGTGGACGGGTGCAGGTGACGGAGGAAGAGGAAGGGTTGGAGGTGGCCGGCTATGGTGGACGGGTGTGGGTGATGGAGGAAGAAGAAGGGTTGGAGGTGGTTCGCTATGGTGGACGGGTGTGGGTGATGGAGGAAGAAGGAGGGTTGAAGGTGGTTAGCTATGGCGGACGGGTGTGGGTGATGGAGGACGAAGAAGGGTTGGAGGTGGTTGGCTATGATGGACGGGTGTGGGTGATGGAGGAAGAAGAAGGGTTGGAGGTGGTCGGCTATGGTGGATGGGTGTGGGTGATGGAGGAAGAAGAAGGGTTGGAGGTGGTCGGCTATGGTGGATGGGTGTGGGTGATGGAGGAAGAAAAAGGGTTGGAGGTGGTTGGCTATGGTGGACGGGTGTGGGTGATGAAGAAAGAAAAAAGGTTGGAGGTGGTTGGCTATGGTGGACGGGTGTGGGTGACGGAGGAAGAAGAAGGGTTGGAGGTGGTCGGCTATGGCGGACGGGTGTGGGTGATGATGGAAGAAGAAGGGTTGGAGGTGGTTGGCTATGGTCGACGGGTACGGGTGACGGAGGAAGAGGAAGGGTTGGAGGTGGTCGGCTATGGTAAACGGGTTGGAGGACGAAGAAGGGTTGGAGGTGGTTGGCTATGGTAGACAGGTGTGGGTGATGGAGGAAGAAGAAGGGTTGGAGGTGGTTGGCTATGGTGAACGGGTGTGGGTGATGAAGAAAGAAAAAAGGTTGGAGGTGGTTGGCTATGGTGAACGGGTGTGGGTGACGGAGGAAGAAGAAGGGTTGGAGGTGGTCGGCTATGGTGGACGGGTGTGGGTGATGATGGAAGAAGAAGGGTTGGAGGTGGTTGGCTATGGTGGACGGGTGCGGGTGACAGAGGAAGAGGAAGGGTTGGAGGTGGTCGGCTATGGCGGACGGGTTGGAGGAAGAAGAAGGGTTGGAGGTGGTTGGCTATGGTGGACGGGTGTGGGTGATGGAGGAAGAAGAAGGGTTGGAGGTGGTTGGCTATCGCGGACGGGTGTGGGTGATGGAGGAAGAAGAAGGGTTGGAGGTAGTTGGCTATGGTGGACAGGTGTGGGTGATGGAGGAAGCTCGACAGACGCAATCCTAACTCTTAGCCTCGTGTCCCCTTTCCTACCCGGGCGCCCGGTCACCACATACTGCTTTTGGAAGGCACGGTCACGAAAACAGAGGAAGAACTGATTTATACTATCGAAACCGCAACACTCACACATACTCATACCACATGTTATCGGCTACCGCTAGGGTGAGGAAGGACTGAACTGGCTACCGGGACTGCAACACAGCCACATACACACACCGCATGTCACCGGTTACAGCAAGGGGTGGGGACGGACTGAACTGGGCTACCGGGACTGTAACACACACACATACGCATACCGGGTGTTACAGGTTACAGCAAATGGTAAGGGTAGACTGAACCGGTTACCTGGGACTGCAACACACATACATACACATACTGGGTGCCACAGGTTACAGCAAAGGGTAAGGGTGGACTGAACAGGTTACCGGGGACTGTAACACACACACATGCACATACCGGGTATCACAGGTTACAACAAAGGGTATGGGTGGACTGAACAGGTTACCTGGGACTGCAACACACACACATGCACATACCGTATGTCACGGGTTACAGCAAAGGGTAAGGGTGGACTGAACAGGTCACCGGGGACTGCAACACACACATGTACTCATACTGGGTGTCACAGGTTACAACAAGGGGTAAGGGTGGACAGGACAAGTTACCGGGGACTGCAACAAACATACATACACACTAATTACCGTCAATTGACAAGCTTGGAAGCATCTAACCTAGTGGAAAGTTCACCAAGGTGTCCCGAGTCAAATCGCAACTTACCCATGCATCAAGATCCGTACAAACACAAATTTGAGAGCACCTATTCTAGTGGAAGGTTCACCGAAGTATCCCAAGGTAAATCACAACTCACACATGTATCAAGTTCAGCAGAAACACAAGTTTGAGAGCATCTGGACTAGCGCAAGGTTCACCGAAGTATCCCAAGGTAAATCGCAACTCACACCTGCATCAAGATCAACACAAACACAAGTTTGAGAGCATCTAAACTAGTGGGAGGTTCACCTAAGTATCCCAAGGTAAATCGCAAGTCACACATGCATCATGATCAGCACAAACACAAGTTTGAGAGCATCTGAACTAGCGGAAGGTTCACCGAAGTATCCCAAGGTAAATCGCAACTCATACATGCATCAAGATCAGCACAAAAACAAGTTTGAGAGCATCTCTACTAGTGGGAGGTTCAGCGAAGTACCCCAAAGTGAATCGCAATTCACACATGCATCAAGATCAGCACAAACACAAGTTTAAGAGCATCTGATCTTAGTGGAAGGCCCACCGAAGTATCACAAGATGAAGCGCTACATCCCCAGGCACCCAAATCAGCAAAATGACAAGTTGGAGATCATCTACACTAGGGGAAACATCACCAAAATATCACAAGATGAATCGCAACATGTACAAGCACCCAACTCCACAAAAGGACAAGACTGGTGACTCCTACACTAGGGGAATGATCACCGAACTATCACCGGATGAATCGCAACAGGTACAAGTACCCAAGTCCACAAAAAGACAAGACTGATGGCTTCTACACGAGGGGAAACATCACCGAAGTATCACAAGATGACTCGCAACATGTACAAGCACCCAACTCCACAAAAAGACAAGATTGATGACTCCTACACTAGGGGAATGATCACCGGATTATCACAGGATAAATCGCAATAGGTACAAGCACCAAATCCCACAAAAAGACAAGATTGATGGCTTCTACACTAGGGGAAACATCACTGACGTATCACAAGATGCAGCGCAACACCCCCAAGCACCCAAACCAGCAAAA